TAGTAGAATTATTGTTTTGGATACCAACATTTGACCTCGTTTCTGTCTTAATCTCGCTTTCGGGTATATTCAAACTTAAATTCCTTCCCACATTTACACAGAAGCACACTTCACCTCTCTGCACCTAAGCAGGTTGTTAACACCCCCATTCATAAGATGATTTGTGGAGAGCCAGGGAGTGGGCAGCAAGACTCACTCACCCATTAATAGTCCTATAAGTGCTAAAGTCCAGTGGAAAGTGGAGACTGGGCTGCTGAATTGTGATGAGATATTGCTGCCAGGGTAGGGAAGCTGGCTGTAAAAGTACATCATAAAGATGCATGCATACCCAAGATTTGGTCTACTGAAGAGCACCACAATGGACAGGTGGATCAAGCTGCCAAGATTAAAGCATCTCAGATCTGAACTGGCAACATAAGGGTGAATTATTTCTGGCTCAGTGGGCCCCTGAGGGTCATTATGGAAGAGACACAGCATGCTGATAGGCATAACTGCCCAGGTTATCCATTACTGTGAAATGTGCTGCAATAAAGCAGGCCAAGTGAGTAAACCCCCAGTGGTATGGGGGATGATGGTCAAAATATAAATATGGGGAGGCCTGGCACACTGATTACATCACATTGCTCCAAACCCACCAAGGCAACTGCTATGTGCTGACACTGGTGGAAACAACCACAGGATAGCTGGAGACATACCCAGTGCCTCATGCCCCCACTCAGAACACCATCCTGGGCCTTGAAAAGCAAGCAAGTCCCTGTGGTGACACGGCACCCCAGAGAGAACTGAGTCAGACAACAGGACTCATTTCGAAACCAGCCTCACAGACCCCTGGGCCAGAGAGCACAGAATTAAGTGGATGTATCATACTCTTCATCATGCACCAGCCTCTGGGAAAGCTGAATGTACAATGGACTGTTTGAAAGCAATAGATGGTGGGACCTTCACACATTGGGATCTATATTTAGCAAAGGCCACCTGGTTAGTTAACACTACGAGGCTCTGCCAATCACGCTGACTCCGCCCATTCAGAACACAGGAGGAGATGAAATCCCCATGGTGCATATGAGAAGTCAGGGAAGACAGTTTGGACTAGTCCTGCCTCAAGCAAAGGCAAACCCATCTGTGGGATTGTTTTTGCCCAAGAGCCTGGGTGCACTTCAGTGGGTAATGCAGAGGGACAGGGAAATGCTATGTGCACCTCAAGGGGATTTGATTTTTGGGAGAGAACAGTCTGTAATGTTGAACTATGTATGTAATATTGACTGATGAATGACACTGCCACCATGTGTCATAACTACCATGGACAATGAGTATGGACTGCTCCAGTTACACCAGTTGTGAGCTCCTGATGCAGCCTGCAACCAACTGACAGCACAACAGCTCTCCTGACATGGAAGACATCCAGGGTGGGCAGAGCCCACAGACAGGGACTAAATGAACTCAACAGATGTCTTGGGGGACAGCCCTTGACTAGTGAAATGATGCCTGTGCTTGTGTACAGTTATGTGTATATATACACACACACACATACACGTGGAAGGTCTAAGATTTGGGCATGACACAGATACTTTAGAATAAGGGGTGCATAATGTCCTGGTTGCAGAGATGGGGTAGAGCTTAGAGCCATGTGGGCATGGCTGTGTTGCTATTCTATACCACTCACAGCTGGGAGGTATTAAACCACCACAAGGTGGTACAATGGATAGTCTCATCCACCCTACACAGGAGACTAAAACTCCATTCAGGTGCAATGGTGACCTCACTCTCTTTAGATCACTTTAGGAAAAGTGTTTTAAGACTTCACATTTCTACCCCATCAAGAGACATGTCCATTTACCATGAATTCCACAGAAATTGTGACAACAACAGTTTGGCTGGCAACAATGGTTTTTCAAGGAAGATACATAGCTCAGAGTCCAAGGTATCAGTCTTTCAGCAGAGTTTTGTTTCCAAATGAAGTCTCCAACTTTAAGAACAGTCTCTTGAGCCCTCTCTTTAATAGCAGCTTCTAGCAGAAGTTTAGAGACAGTGAACTCTGCAAGGGCAAGGCCAGTTTTAGTCCGTGCACAAAAAAATCAGGTGAAACCCCAGCCCCACCAAAGTCAACAGCAAAATCCACACAGGCCTCAGAGAAGCAGTTTTAAAGCAAGTCAGCAGTTAGTCAAAGGGAACCCAATTAGGTGATTCCTGCACTATCCTCATTTTCTGCACATACACAGTACTCCCACACACGTAAGCAAACTCTGTTTTGTTCCCTTGTTTTTCTCGCAATTGGCAACTCCTGGGGATGTTGAGTCTATTTTTTGGCATTTACTCTGAAACATCTCAACACTGGAGCACACCACTATTGTACTTCATTTCGCTTTTGGTGTAAGAATTCAGAGAAGAGAAAAACAGTTACAGCAGAACACTTTTGGTACTTGACAGGTTTGGTTCACCAAAATAGAGTTACAGGCAATGTCCTATATTCTCAGTGTATCAGTGCCATTTTGCCTACTTCCACTAAATTAACTTAAGGAAGTCACTGCCTTCCATTATTACTAAACTTTCTGTGAAGAGACATCGTTTATGAATCATACTTGGAGGATTTCTGCCTCAAAGAACCTGCATGCTTCACAGAAGTAGCCAAACACATCAGGCTTACCAGCTTTAGTTATCCCTCTGTGTGCTAAGTTATTTTGGTTGTCAAGTAACCATCACTCTTCAGCAAACAAATAATTATTTTTGATAGAAGACAGTTTTTATGTAGTATCACTACTGCCATGTATCTCATTTTAAAGGACAAATTCTGAAGCCTGTAGTTGGAGTCCAGATACTTCTGTGTCAAACAAAAAACTCTCAGTGCTTCAGGGTGAGAAAGATAAACTTCATGACAAAAACCAAAATAAACCCTATTTCACTACAACATCTCATCATCATTCAAATATACTGCAAATTGATACCAGAAACAAGGCAGGCTTTTTTTTTTTGTGGACAATAGAAAAAAAAAACAAAAAACACTTAAACAGACAACTGTGAAAATGGCTAATGCAAACAGACCATTCAAACCCATCATTCCTCAAATCTGATACCGAATGAGTTTTAATTTGTTTTGTAGTTACTTCTGTACAGCTGTCTAAAAAGGTAAACAAACTACAGCTCTGTTATACTTGGATAGTATGAGTGGTATGGTACGCTCCAGAAGTCTCTAGTAGGCTATGGCTACACGTGACAGGATTCCTCAGAAGGGGAACAAACAGGTTTGTCGTTAAGGTCACTTAAATCTTTGTTATAGCAAATTGGAACAAAATGGCTGACTTCTGCAGGATTTCTGACAGGAATCCAGTAGAGCTGGTTTCAAGTTTCAGATGACCACTAAAACAGCTGTAACCTTCTCTTCCAGAAGTTGTGATCCACATGGTGTCCACAATGAGTGCAGCAAGTCTGAGGTAGTCAACCTTTACGAAGGCTCAGTATCTGAACATAAAAAGATTTTGAAATGACCACTGGCTGTAGGTATCTTTCTGAGCAATTAAAGAACACTGATGACTCTTGTTCAATCATTTACATTAATTTGCCCCATATCCAATGGAGAAGTTGCAACATATTATGCTTCCATAGTGCAGGAGAACCAATCACTTACGTCAAAGTAGTCTGCACTCGCTGCAGTAGATCCAGCAGAAATAAGGTGGCAAGTTCATCATAGCTGTTAGCTGTAGTTTAGTTACCTTAGTAGAAGGGTTACCAAAAATGCATTCCTTAATTGTAATGTGTGTGCGGCTCTACTGATCCCCAAGCACAGCATACTGGTTGTCTAGCTGAAGTTTAAGTGCCTGGTTTTTTGACACCTCATCCCTACCTCTAGTTTTGTATTTTACTACTTCAAAGCTCTTCTCCATTTCTTTATCCCTAAGGGAAAATAAATGTAATCAGTAAATATCTTATCACTAGGCTTGTGAATTGTGAATTTCTAGACTATTTCCACCCCATCCCAACAAAAACATTATGAACACAAAACAAACACTAAGATCTAAAGTTTAACAGAATAGCCAAACATTCTCAAGCAAATCTTATCTCCAAAATAAGATCATCACCCAGTACGATTCAGATTATAAATGTCAATATTAACATTCTCAAAAGTAAATTTAAGTGCAATTACGAAAAAGAGGTTCTAGAAAGCAGAAGTCAATTTCCAGAATGTTCATTCAGAATTTCACCTTGACTCAATTTGTAACATTCAAACCCTAAAGCATCAATGACAGCATGTTTGATTTGCCAAGCAGACAAAGCCATACCAAAAAAAATCCCAGAGCTTCTGCTAAGCTGTATTAAACAGTAGTATAGCAAGCACAAAAAAAAAAAACCCAAAGAATCAAACTACAACAATAACAAAAAGGAAAAAAAGAAAAAAAAATTCAACAAAACACCCAAAAAACCCCAAGTGAATTAAGTATTGGCCTAGCTATCTCTCCTCTTGAGGTTATGGTAAGATCAGGACTCAAAAGCAGGGTGAGACTCAAGTCTTCAGCACCACATAACACAAAACACTTCAGCAAAACTTGGGGAGCTCATCACTGTTTACCACAGCTCAGACAGCAAGTGCATGGACTGTATTTGTATCAAACCCCATTCTTCCACTTCAGCTACCTTCACATCTCTAAAGGTAGTGTGAAGGTAGTGTGCTCAGAACTTCCTACATGTGTGCTGAAGGAAGTAACACAGAGCCTCCCTCCCCATGGCTAGTGTCTCAGGGAACCAGATGCTGTCAAGTGCATAAATATTCTGCTTCAGGGAAATCCTTCAGCCATCAAACATAACATAACTAGCAGTCTTGTTTGGCTATCTTACTGGGCTAGGTCCTACAAAAGTTATTTCATGGGAACAGAGCTGGAAAATACAGTTAAGACCTCTTAGTAATTTCTTTCTCTGTGGAAAGATTCAGGCTTAAGTCCTACACAACATAAGAACTCAGAAAAGGCAGCTAACTTATGTCTCTTAGGGAATCAGTGGAATGTACTTACTTTCGACTGTCTACAAGCTTGGCGGTGGACTGCAGTGATGGGAACTGGGTATCACTATAGATTTCTGGTGGTCCTTGCTGTGCTCTCCGTGGCCTGCCACCCTCCCGGGCACCGGGCGGCCTGTACACACCACCAGTCTGGACTGGTTCTGGGGCTTCTGTAACTAGTTACAAGAACAAGAGTTACACAAGAGAATGGGTTTGCATTCATAGTTGAAAAAAAAAAAAAAAAAAAAAAAAGCCCAACCAAACATAACAATCAACACACAAACCAAATTCTACAAATCTTTTAAGTATGTTTTTGCACCTTTTAGAGCTCTGGAAGCAAATATTTTAGACAAAGTAGGAAATCAACTATCACCTAATTCAATCTATACTCAGTAGTCAAATTAAAACATGACTAATTAACTTTACCTCCTTGCTTGTACAAACAAGGAAGAACAAAGCAGATTATTTTTCAGTAATTTCTCAGTGGAAAAGAATATTCTGAACACAGATCATGGCTAATAAATTGTACTTACTAAAAATCTACAGTTCTACCCTACTTAAAGAATCAATTTTGCAATGTCATGTTCTCTGTATCCTAGAACTGATTTGAAAAGTGTGCTACTAACCATGGAAGCCTAATCAAGAACTGCCACGTTAGACATCAGATATTGGCTGAACATCCACAAAAGTGTTAAAGCAGTATTTTTAGATCAACAGAAATGCTTCCCATAGATATTTTGCAGATTGTATAGTAAATGGACTTCCTGAAAAGACAGAATGCTTCCCCCCTGCCCCTTTGAAGTCAAAAATAAAAATACTTCCACTTGTGCTTTAAAGTATCAGGCAGATACTTTAAATTCAATCCAGTTCCTCAGATGCCTTCACAGGAAAATTCCCTCATTTACTAGCATGCCAAATAAGCCTCTAGTATGTTAATGGGTGCCTGAACAAGAACTGCTCCTCGAGCTTTACCCAGAGAGCAGCTCAATTCAACCTGATGTGCTTCCGACTGGAAAAAACAACTCTGAGTTATATTTACCAATTGGTTCAATGACAGGTGCTGGTGCAGGAGCTGACTTGTTCCAAGGACCAGATGATCTGTCTACACCACCACCACCAGTCTCTTCCCAATTGTCACCAGGTTCTTCTCTTTTTTCACTTTCATCATCTTCCTTTTCACTATAAAAAAAGAAATGATGAGTAATACCTTACAAGCAGAGGTTTAAGACTTGCCAGAGATTACAGAGTCCCCATAAACAAGACCTCATGGCTGCTGTACTAAGGCACTAGCTTAAATCAGACTACGTTAGTCCCATAATCACTGTACTAGTAATTCCATCTGAACAATTTTTGGCACGCTGCTACATAACTTGGCAACTGAGAAGGAAAAAAGTACTTGAGAAGGAAAACTTAAAAAAAAAAACCTTGAACTAAGTGATCAAAGAAACTGGTATCTTATTTTGAGCTTCAATGTTTTTTTCTTAGTAAGACAGTCATGCATTTGAAAGGGTTGAGAACACAAAGCAGGAAAGGTCTACAAGTCCAGCTTTCATAAAATGCTTTAGTCAAGAGGAAGAAATAGCGGAGTACTGGTGGGAAAAAAGCAAGTCCTGAGCTCACGTTCCCTATAGGCACAACCACGTGAGAAACACTCTCATATTACCCATACACACATATTCTACACTCGAACTCAGATTTTTTTTTTTTTTAAAGCAGGCAATCAAAAAAACCCACAAGAGAATAAAATACGTCATTTTTAAAGATAAATCCTATGCAAAAGCTTGACTGTATTTTATTTAGACTATTTTATTTTGCACAGAAATAGTCAAGAGAGCCAAAATAATTTGCTAGTCAAAGCTACTACAGAAAGCTGTTTGATAGAATGGGACAGATGTGGAGGGTGAGGCTGTTGAAAAAAATCCACACGCTGATCTCAACAGCAAAAAGTGTTAATTCAGAAGTTTGTACTAGACCAAATTCTACTAATCACGATCTGTGAAAGCTTTCTGTGTAAACAGCAATCAGAGAACAGCAAAATACGCCTGTAATTTCTGAAAACTAAATGGCCTTTTACTGTTCATCCAAACACGTTAACAATCACAGTAAGGTGGTCCAAGGGCCTAAACCCATCACTACCCCATTTTAAATGAGAGTCAGAAGCAGATGCCTACAAACTACAACAGAGCCAGTACAAGTAACAACCCACCCCCACAGACACTCTATATCTTATTTTCAGCAAAGAGATCTCCAGAGATGGATAATTTACAACCTCTAGTGGTTTTTTCTTCCATTTACTTCTCCGCTCTTCCCTTCAATCTACTGAGTGGTTACTAAGTCCTGTGACAGAAACTTCCATGTGCCTGGAAATCTGCCAGAGCACCAAAAGCATTTCGAATGCCAGCCTTTGTCTGGAAAACCAAAGTACTGGCTTTCCAGTCAAACAGCACCAGTGGTCAGTGAAGCTGCAGCCCACTGGTTACTTGTCTATTCAGACATGTGATTATCCACTGTGACACTTCAATGGCATGGACAGCAAACAACCGAAAAGGACTAGTTAACTGAAAGGAGTAGGGGGAATTATGTGATCCAAAAAAGCAAATAATTCAAAGATTATATCAGACCTGCCCACACAGTGGAGAAAACATCTACTGCATTGGTTACAGATATGATGATTTTAGGACAACATTATTTTGAACATCATTATATCTGGACATGGCACCTAATTGCCAGGATTATCTGGCATTCTCAGGCTATGACTGGGGTCATAAAAACCCATTTTCTGACCCAGTGAAAAGTTTTTCTTAACCAGGACAGACTTAAGTAGACCTACTTAGGACCAGACAACAGGAAATGTCTAATGAAAAAGCAAACAAGAAACCATGGATGAGACTCATAAATGCAGTCCACTGGGATCTTATCATGGGACACTAGATTTATATTTTTGTTTTACTGAAATAAAGACGCAATGGTTCAGGAATTTGCTCCCAAACTCAAGATGTTGAATAGATTGAGTCAGATACCCTTAACAGCAACCAAATGATTCAGTGGGAATTACTATCCTGCACTCCTCAGAGAAATTCTTTACTATCTTTATGGAGGGGAATGCTGAGCATTTGTAGTAAAAATCTGAGTCCCAAGCAAAACAGACAGACCTAGAACATGAATAGAAAATTAGAAAATATAGAGAATATTGGCAGAGATCAGTCAAACATAAGTTACCCAACAGCAAAATTCTATACTATCAGAAATATATCAAACCTCTCTATAACTGGACTCCATGGTAGCAGCTCTAAAGAAAAAAAATCCATTCTTTTTAAACATAGGTAATGATTACACTGGAGAAAAAAAATAAAGAAAAAGTAGTACCTTATTTGCATGGACTGAACTCTAAGACCACTATAATCAATTTCTTCCTTTTGCTCAAACTCCTTCCAATCATCCTCTTCCTGTAAGAAGAGAAAAATAAAGTTGTCACTTTCTTTACAACAAAAGTAGAAAAAGGGAATGTAACTAAGGTAATGCAAAGAAAACTGAGGGTGAAGGCACAGTTCTAGGAGAAATCAAACTGTGTCCACCCACTGCCAGGAGGGAAGAGGATTGCACACCCTCCTCCCCTAATGTACTAAGTGTCACCAGGGACGCACCTGCGAGCTGACTTTAACTCACTACAACAGCTAAGAAATGCCCCAGCAAAGAAGTCGTTCAAGTGAAAGAAAACCACATCATCTCAGTAAAAGTCCATTAGGAAGTCAAGGGACAACACAAAGCATGGAAGAGGATCGTGCAGTCATGACCAGGGAAATACAAGGCAAACCCTCTCTCTGTCACTCACAGTAAGCTTTTGTGACAGTTTGAATGCATACGAAGCTTTAAATCTACTTTTCCATCACCTATTTCATGAGCAAAACAGTAAAGAACATCTGGAATGGCTTACAGTGGATTTATGACAGAGATTAATATTGGTACATTTGATTTTTTTCACACTCACAGTCATGTTTACAGTCTTGTTTTCTTAGAAATGTTTTCATAGCAGTAAGAAGGTCAGCTTCAAACCCACAGCAATCTTAGTACACAAAAACATGTATCTTTCGAGAGCATCACTACAGGGTTTTAAAACAGGAGTTTGATTATGTGTTTGGGTAAAGAGGGACTCACCTAAGAGGAGTTAAATTTGTCCTACTGTGTCATCAGCAGATTCTGGGGTTATTGAGGTAGGCCAGAAATGGACCAGAACAGATAAGCAGGCCTCACCATGTTCCCAGTCACAGCTTTAAGACATGCAGAGCCTAATTAATAGTTTACATAATTCCTACACACTACATGAAATGCAGTTATACTACTTTAAATAGGAAGACCTTGAGAACAAGGTCTGACAAAGGTACAGTCGCCTTTCCATGGAACAGCTGGGAATAAAGCTTCCTTTAGAGCCCTGTGCTAGGACCTTCTACACTGCCAATCTCCAGCAGAAAAACTCTGACCTGCTTTAGAGTAACAGCAGAAGTAGAAAGTGACCCCATGTAACTGCACCGTCTGCTAAACATTCAGTCTTTTGGAAGAGACATGAACCTACAGCTCTAAAATATTTTAGATTTCTTATATTCCCATCTCCATGGAAACATCACAGTTTCCAAGCTAACGTACCTTTCACATTTAGTGATTTTTATTTCTAATTCAAGCACAAGCTTCAGTCAAAGCCATGTATTATTTTAACAGCAAGTGAGTAAAACAGCAGCTGAAAGATTACCACTGACCTTGATCTACTCAGAAAGCTACTGCACTTGACAAGCTCTCAGAGTTAAATATCAGGAAACAGTAGAGTATTTCTTAAAATTTGTTTTGAAATATCCAGCATTAGACCTCTTATCTCTGCTTCTGGTTTCGGCATTTAACCTAGCACAGGAAAATATCCTTAAATCATTTATCCTCTATGTAATGATGAAGGAAGCAAGGTATCTGACTTCCAAAAACCCTTTCACAAGCCACCTTTTTATATTCTGAGAGTGTACAATATTATCACAGGGACAGATGAAGATTTGGTTTGTAGCAGTAAAACAGAGAAGAAATCCTCAGATTACTACTTGTTAAAGCCCCCAAAGGAAAACAGTATCGAGGCAAAAAACCACCCAAAGCAGAAATAAAGAAACAAAAGGTCCAAGCTATTTTTTAGGTTCTATCTGTCCTGTCTAAAGCAGAAAGATACGTTAGAAAACTACTGCATATGTCAAGCTCCCGAATTTAAACACCATCAGGAAACAGAAGAGTATTTCTTAAAATTCATTTTGAAATATACAGCATTAGAGCTCCTACAAATGCTTCTGGTTTCAGTTACATTACTTCCGTGCTGATGGTGGGGCCAGAGCAGAGAAGGGCAGAGGAAGAAACAGAGGCACTAACTCAACTAGGGGCACTTAAGCTTCTCCTGCATTCTCATCGTTTCGCTGTAATACGGTACGAGGGAAAAAAAAAAAAAATTACTGGCAGTAAAACCCTTCCTGGCAGCGAGGCATAGAGCGGACTCCGGGGAAATCTTATCGCCAAGGTCCACAGGCCACGCCGTACAGCCCCAGGTGGCCCAGGGCTGGCACCTGCCGCAAACTCCCGGTTCCGGCCGCAGCACCCGGAAACCCGGGAGGGAACACAGGGAGGGGGGAAGGGGCCCTGCTCTCACGCCCCCCGCCAGACTGGGACTCGCGGTGAGGGGCTCCCGCGACCCCCCCCCTCCTCCGCCCCCCCGGCAGGAGCAGCAGGAGCGGCAGCGCCGTCCCGGCGGCCCCGGGTGGGGCCGGGCTGGGGCTCGGGCTCCCCGCCAGGCCCCGCACGGCCCTGGGCGCCGCATGGCCGGGCGGCGGCGGCGCCCCCTGCCGGCAGGAACCCGCGGCCTCCCCGCCCGCACCTTGCTCGCCGCCTTGGCCGAGGAGCCGCCGGCGGCGCTGGAGGCGGCGGTGGCCCCGGAGCCGCCGCCCTCGGCCGGGCGGGGGGTCCCCGCGGCCGCGCCCGCGGCGTTGGAGGCGGCGTTGGAAGCGCCGGAGGAGGCGGCGGCGGCGCTGCGGCTGCTTTTCTCCTTCCGCTTCTTCTTGTCCCGCTTGGCGAAGAAGTCGTCCAGGCTGCGCTCCTCGGTCTCGGCCATGGCGGGGCCGGGCGGGGGGGGGCGAGGCGAGCGGCGCTCCCGCGGCTGCGGCGTTGGCGGCTGCGGCGGCTCCGGCCCGGCCCGCCCGGCGGGTCGCGCGCCCCACGCCTGACGCGGCCCGCGGGCACGGAGGGGCTCGGAAAGAGGTGGGGCGGGGCCGCACCCCTGCGGGCGCATGCGCCGCCGCGCGCCGGCCAATGAGCGCCGCCGGCCCCCCCGGGGGGCGGCTCCGAGAAAGGGGCGAGAGGCGCTGACGTTGCCGCGCGTGAGGCCCGCGCGCGGCGGGCGCGGGGAGGGCGGCGGCGGCGCGGCCGCGGATTGGCCGAGCGGGGCGGGGCGGGGCGGCGCGTGCGCGGCAAGGGCCCGTCTCGCGCGGGCACCTCCCGCCCCTGGGCGTGCGGGCAGGGTTGGACTCCGTGCGGGCAGGGATGGGCTCCGTGCGGGCAGGGATGGGCTCCGTGCGGCAGGGATGGGCTCCGTGCGGGCAGGATGGCCCGTGCGGCAGGGTGGGTCCGGCGGGCAGGGATGGGCTCCGTGTGGGTGTGGCAGGCTGCCCGCGAACCGTGCGGTGTGACACACCCCGCCACCCTGGCTTGCCAGAGGGGCCCAGTCCTGTCCTCGGGCCCATCGGGAAGACTGTGGCCAGCAGGTCGAGGGACCCTCTAGTCAGCTCTAGTGAGGCCACATCTGGAATACTGTGCCCAGCTACTGCAGAGGGTCCGTCGGAGGGACACAGAGGTTATTAAGGGACCGGAGCATCTCTCTTATGAGGAGAGGCTGCGGGAGCTGGGCCTGTTGAGTCTGGAGAAGAGAAGGCTGAGAGGGGGTCTCATCGCTGCATATAAATATCGCAGGGGCAGGTACCAAGACGATGGTGCCGTACTGTTAAGTGGTGCCCAGAGACAGGAGGAGGAGTAATGGCCATAAAATAAAACATAAGTTACCCCTCACACGGGAAAGAACTTCTTTGCGTTGACGGTGGCAGAGCACCCGAACAGGCTGCCCCGGCAGATCGTGAAGTCTTCCCCTCTGGAGACATTCCGAACACACCTGGACGCGTTCCTGTGTCACCTGCTCGAGGTGACCTGTGCCTCGGCGGCGCGGTTGGACTACATTATCTCCAGAGGTCCCTCCCAACCCTAACAATTCTGGGATCGAGACCGGCCGCGGCTCCTGGGGAAACCCATGGCTGCGTCGTGCATCGGGCTGTGCCGTGAGAGAGGGACATTTTGCTTGGACTCAGAGTCACTGTCGAGGAGGCTGAGAGAGCTGCTGGAGCGGCCCCAGCCCTCAGCCGGTCCTTTGGGCTCCGGGCGCTGCTCAGCCTGCTCAGCTCCCCGCCCGTGAGGCGAGGTGATGTTCACTCCCAGCCTGGACTGCGGTCCCGCACCCCAGCAAGAGCCGTGAGCTTACACTGCCATTGTAAAGGGTGCAAAGAAGTAATTTAGCTTTCATCTTGGAGATGGTGTGGTTAAGTGAGTAAGCCTTGAAACACCACTCTGTCTAGGATGTCCGGATGTGTTGGCGTCAGCTTCCTAACTGCTTTCCTGACTCACATGGAAGCCTAGGGAATATCTACTGGAAAACTGACTTTACAGTGGGTGTCTGCAGATTGTCACCTCTCCCATTTGGGTACTGTAGTGACCTTTAACTCTGGAAAAAAACATGGGTATTTAAAAAGTTTACTGTAGCTTCAAAACGCGTTGTCAGAAGTTTTGAGGCAGGGCATTTGGAAAAACAGCCTCAGACTGTCATGAGTCATAAATAATTACATGAAACACTGTATCTGATTACTTACTTCGTTGGTCAGCCATCAAAAGGAGATAGAAGTTCCTACTGGTAGTGTAAGCCCAAATGAGAATTCCCTATCAAATATGTATTGGTTTGTATTACAGTTATGTAAAAGTAAGCATGTTTGTACTCTTGAGTTATTTGGTATAATTTTGGGCTTTGTGATATTTTCTTTTCAAATCGTTACATATATGTTTATATATTAACATATAAATGAAAAGTTTTTCCAAACTTTGGAGAGTGACAGCCTCAATTTGTGTCCATGAAAGTACTGTTATTTAGTGTTTTCCATCCATATTGCTTGAGAAAAACAGGGGAGGTGCCATTGTCATATTGCAGAAAGAGGTTGAATACACGATGTCTTCGTGAAGCATCGAGTAGCTTCGAGTAACTGAGTCACTGTAGCCAAGTGTTTTGCCTTTGGGAGATGTGTTACAGTCCTATTTTTATGTGTCATCCTATGTCTTCCCTCTATTTCTCTACTACCTGTATTCTTCTAGGATTTGAGCCTGCACAGAGCAGGCCTTGAGAACTAAAAGCTGCAAGTGTAACAGTTCATCTGGTAACACCTAGAATGCCATGTGATCAACAACATTTTCTATTTGTGACAGAAATAATTACTGAAGTAGGGAACAAATCTGGTAGCTAAGTCTCATTTTCTGTGCTTCCTTGGCGCTCCCCTCTTACTGTCCCCTTCAGCTGATAGGGGGTTGCGTGGAAGGTGACAGAGGACAGTTGGGTGTGGAAGAGTGTTTGACATTCCTCTTGTTGAAACGCTGCATTCCCTTGTTTGTGATCCATTACTGCCCAGGAAGCCAACGTACCTCCGCACTGCACCGTGCCGTGACCTGCAGGCTCAGCACTGGTAATAACATGCAACTAAGCAGACAGTTTGTGTCCCTCGGCTTTTGTGGCAGATAAGCTAATAATGGCCACTAAGTATAGTGCTGTGCCTGATTCTGGAATGTCTGCAGCTGGTAAAATATTTTAGTTGCATTATTGTGGAAAACCCCATTATCAGGCTGATGAAAGTGAACCTGATGCCTTTTTGCTGCTTTTAGCATCTGCATCACTTCTCTCTTGCAAACACAGTGCTGCAAGGCTGGAATGCCCAGCTCTGGATTAGAAACTTAATACCTGTCAGGAGCAGAGTAGCAAGAAATATTTCAGCTGTTAAATCTGGAACAGACTCAGCGGAAACCATGGAAAATAACAGCAACGTTTTAGGCCTCAGAAGGCTTAGATCCAGATTTAAAGGCATGTCTCAGTTGGCGCTTTAAAGGAAGCATTAGTTATGCGGTTATGCTTGGATTTGCCTCCCACCTTCAGTTTTATTTTTATGTAAAATTGTGAAAATGTGCTGACACATGGCATTTGTAGTTCTCTGCGAATGCATTGTGTTGGCTTTTACAGCTAAGACTGTTGCTGTGTAAAAAGTTAGATGCAGAAAAAAAGGTCAGTATTTGTGTTTTCCTTTCTCAAATTCAACATTTCTCAGTACTTGCACAGAGGACAGCTTTCTGCTGCACTGTGTATCACTGACCTGTGTGACCCACCTTTGGCAAGACACAGCACTGAGGACGTTGTCTCTTTCCTCTCCTACATTAGAAGTGCACAGTGCAGCACGCCCGTCATGGCACACAATAGTGCTTGCCCGCCTCTCTTCTCCATCCTATAGCATGGCCAGTCTTGCCATGATGCTGTTCCCTGTGCATCTTGGTGCATTTTGTATACCCTGAGGAGCGAAGCACTACCGCATGTGGGGGAAGCAATGCAGCAGCCACTGTTCGTGTGGAGAAACCGAAAGGAGGAAAGTCGAAGTGAGTTGTGGGTGATGCAGGAGTTAAGAGCAGACTTCCATTTCCAGTCCCCCAGTGTTTCATCTTACTGTTACTTCTTTGTACCTAATTATCATTCTGTGACATGAAGGTGATAGCGCTGCAAACTGCTGTGACATTTGCAGAGCACAAGCAGAAGAATAATTCATTTTGTAACTCTCTGGCAGATACCTGCTTGAGGAAATTGGAAAAGGTGCCATTAGGTGCAAAGCAGCTTGCAGAAGAGTTCTGGCGGAGTTCTTGTCACAGCATGGGCCCCAGTTCTCTTTGGAGCTTAACCTTCCTCTCAGCTCCAGGGCTCTCAGAGTTTGCTGTAGTTCCAGACCTCTACAACCAGAAGGGAGAAGTGTTATCATGCCCATTTCTCCACCAGTAATTGCTATCTGAAAGCAGGTAGTGGTGGCAGCAGTGCATGGTGTTTTGTTAAAGTGTAAATTTTAGACAATGCCAGCTTGAAAGTGACATTAAAAATAATCTTTTAACCATAGAATCAGTATAATAATGCTTATACTGAAATGCAAACAGTAGAATGATAGGCTACAGTACCAATTCAATCATCTGGTGTGCTATGTTTCTGCTCAGTGTGAAATCTTCAGTGAGGCAGGGACTCCCATAGGGCTGGTGCCCTCTGCTTCTCCCAAGGATGCCGCAGCATCTGCTCAAGCTGTAGTGCAGAAGAAACTGTGCCTGGCTGAGGAGGAGGATAAAGTACACAAATGGTTTCATAGTACAGCTCATCTGACCTAGTGACTAGCTGTCACCAAGGGAGATGGCCATGCTTTACAGTCTGCACTAGTTCCTCTTCTCCTCCCATCTCTCTGCTGCTACTGGTACAGGTTTGCCCCTGCAGTGGCCTGATTCAGGGGACTGAGTGGCAGGAAAGCTTCCCAGCATTTTGCAAGGCTAATTTTCTGCTGATTTTGATTCTTGAACTGTCTCCTGAGACATTAGCCAAGTGTTGGTGCTAACAGAAGATAGTGCAATGGGAATACATAGCATGTGGGGGGGAGTAGAGATGTCCTTTTGTGCAGCAGCTGGCTGTTAGACTGTATTATCTGTACGCTCATAACAGCAAATGCCACAAATCCCTTCACAGGAATATGGGTGTCAGAGATACTGTAGCAAGGCATCATAAAATCTGTTTTCTCATCCTGGTTTTCTAAGGAAAATCAGCTGGAAACATGTTCACATGTATCTAATAGAGCAACTGCTAGACTAGGGGATAAATATACAGCTAAATCAGTTTATGAACCTCAGCGTGTACAAATAGTTGTGAAAGCCTTTAGTCTCTCACGTTCTCAATCTCCTGTCTCACATGGTGAAGGCTGTTAATGCTTAGACAACATTCAGGCTGGCAAGGCGTGCTGGAGGGGCTCCTAGGCAGCTGGCTGCAGTCTGTGTAAAAGTACGGAGAGATTTCTTCACAAGAGCTTTAGCTCTTCATGTGGAAGCA